TATGGGTTGATTATAGCTCCTGATAAAATTCAAAACACTTGTCCAATCTTATGTCTTTGAAAGTTGATAGTCTTCAGCAATCATTTCTCAAAAGGTAGAAATTAGGAAGGACACCTTAAAAACTAAATGGTCTTCAAAAACATGTAGGGGACTTAAGGACATCAAATAAAGTTCATCAAATGATGTCCTAATCCTTTATCTCCTAGAGAATGGAAAAGTCTACATGTATAGCATGACATCAGGTGGAAAAGGCACTTAGAAGCACCAGCTTCAGCACATCTCACATCCCTATGCTGTTCCTGCGTTGTTAGTTATCCCTTCTCCCAACATCCACACAGGGTTGCTCTGGGATGAGGAACCAACAGAATGGATACATCTCTCTATCAGTCCAAAAAGAGTTATCACATCATGTTGGCTCATGGTTGCTGAATTTATAATTCTAAGCAGGTCTCACACAAGGCAATTATTCAGACAAGCGCCAATAAAAGTTTGTATTCCTTATGATAAAAGGCAGTTAGAATTTTTGTTTTTACCATGAAAGGGTATTAGATCTTGTCAAAGGCTTTTTCAACATCTAAAGAGATGAGTGTGTGTGTGTGTGTGTGTGTGTGTGTGTGTGTGTGTGTGTGTGTGCTCATGTGTTTTTCTTTTGGTTTCTTTATATGATGGGTTATAATGACAGATATTTGTATGTGAACCATCACTGCATCTCTGGGATGCAACCAGCTTGATCATGGTGGATGATTTTTTTTTTTTGGTGTATTCTTGGATTTTGTTTATAAGTATTTTATTGAGTATTTAAGCATCAATGATCAGGAGGGAAATTCTCTTTCTTTGTTGAATCTTTATGTGCTTTGGGTATCAGGGTGTCTGTGACCTCATAAAATGGATTTGGCAATGTTCTTTCTGTTTCTACTTCATGTAATAATTAGAAGAGTGCTGGTATTTTCTCTTCTTTGAAAGTATGGTAGAATTTGACACTAAAACCACATGGCTCCTGGCTTTTGGGGGGTTGGGAGACTTTTAATGACTGCTTCTATTTCCTTAGGGATTATAGGTATATTTAAATTGTTTATCTGATCAGGATTTAACTTGGTAAGCGGTATCTATCAAGAAAATTGTCCATTTCTTTTAGATTTTCCAACTTTGTGGGGAACAGGTTTTTGAGGTATGACCTAATAATTCTTCGAATTTCTTCAGGGTCTGTTGTTATGTCTCCCTTTCGTTTCTGATTTTGTTAATTTGGATCTCCTCTTTCTCCTTTAATTAGTTTGGATAAGGGTTTGTCTATGCTGTTGATTTTCTCAAAGAATCAACTCTTTGTTTCATTGATTCTTTGTATTGTTCTCTGTGTTTCTGTTTTATTGATTCCATCCCTCAGTTTGATTGTTTCCTGTCATCTACTTCCCTTGGGTATGTTTGCTTTTTTTTGCTTGAGAGCTTACAAGTGTGCTGTTAAGTTGATGGAATGTGATTACTTCAATTTTGTTATGTAGGCACTTACTACTATAAACTTTCCTCTTAGTGCTTCTCTCATTGTGTCCCTTAAGTTTCTGTATGCTGTGCATTCATTTCCATGGAATTCTAGGAAGTCTTTAAATTCTATTTTTATTTCTGCCTTGACCCATTCAGTAGAGAGGTCTTCAGTTTCCATGATTTTATAGGTTTTCTATTGTGTGTGTAGTTCCTGTTTTCTTACCTAGATATTTCCATCTCCAGGATTCCCTCAGTTTGTGGGGTTTTTTTATTCCCTTTATTTGCATTTTCAGGTCTTGAATAGTTTTATTCATTCCCTTTACTTGTTTGTTTGTTTTTTTCTTGACTTTCTTTAAGGAATTTATTAATTTCCTCCAATTGTTTGTATTTTCTTGGATTTCTTTAAATGATTTATTAATTTTCTCCCATTTTTTGCTTGTTTTCCTAGATTCCTTTAAAGAGGTTCTTCATTTCCTCTGTAAAAACATCTAACATCTTCATAAAATCGGTTTTAAGGTCATTTTCTTATGCTTCAGCTGTGTTAGCATATTCAGAGGTTCTTCTAGTAGGACAGCTGGCCTCTGGCAGTACTGTATTGCCCTCTGCCAATGATTGTGTTCTGTCCCGCGCGTGCTGTATTTTCTCGCCAGCAAGAAATCACACGCAGGACACTCGGATCCTTCTGCAGACAAGCTTTAATGCATCTTGAGAGTTGGGGAGAGCATAAGCTTACCAGAGCAGAGACTCTGAACTAAGAAACCCATCCCTCCCTTAAAAAGGCTGGCAAGCCGCCGCCTGGGACGTGTTACCCTATGAATGGCTTCAGCTCCTCAGGCCAAATGAGCCACGGGATAGGCAGAGATCAAAGGAATGGAGATTACCCAGCGCCTGTGAAGTAATTTACATCTTGGTGTCTTTAGGCACCATTATTGTAATGGAGAATGCAGGAAACGGCCCCCTACAGTGTTCTTACACTGGCATCTCTGCATCTATGTTTGCAATGAATATAGGGCTAAGTGCCAGTTTCTGAATTTTTTCCTTGTTGGATAGGTATTTTCTTCCTTGGTTTGTGTTTCCTCTCTGATCTCCTAGACTTTGTAGTCTCTATTTCTGGAAGCCAGTGTGACCTCCTTTCTAGCAAGGAGTCTCTGTTCTTCTGCATTGCTTGGTCTGCACTGGTTCTTCTGACTGGTGTGACCTGCACATGAGCAGAAGATATCTCCTGTCTAGAGGCCTGGCATGGGTAGCAAGGGGTTGGGTTAGTGATGAATGGACGGTGGGAATGGGTGTCATTGGCTTGGGTCTTTGGATCTGAAAGGAGGTTATGGGAGTATTCAAGGGCAGCTGGATCTCTTTTCCTAGGAACTGACACCTAAAGGAAGTATAAGAATCTCATGCATGCTTTCATCAGAACACTTCAGCATTAGAAAAAAACCTGGCTTTCACAACTAAAGAGCAGGCTTGCTTGATAGTTAAGGAATTCCCTTCAGGCATAAAAAATCAATATCATACCTCTTTCCTCCATATGCTGTAACTCCCTAAGGATTGTTGTCAAATCATGTTTAGCACATGGATATTATCCATGGCCCCACTTTTGAGAAGTTAAAATGTGTTCATGTCATTGTGGACCCCAATTCATTCCTCATAGAACTGTTCTCCAATCAGGGGAAACAGTTAAAGATGTTATCTCCTTTTTAGTCCGAGCTTTTGAAATTTTAGGCTCCTGAAAAGTGTTGAAAACTGACCATTCTTTTGTCTCCACTGCCAAATCTTTCCAGGAATTTTGCCAACAATATGCCTTAACCCATACCTCAAGCATTTCATATAATCCTCACGGTCAATTCTTTTGTTTGTGAAAAAACCTCGTGTACAACTTAAACATTATTAAAAATAAAGGAGGAGGAAGTGTGGTATGGCTATTCCTTATAATATGTTATGGTTCTTTGGAGAAATTTTTGTTCGGCCAATGGAATGGCCCAGATCAGCAATTTTCTGGAGCTGAGATTATGTTTATGTTTTTTTTTTTTTCCTGCAGGGTGCTGAAAAGCTGTGGGGACACCTGAAAGACTGACCCAACCTGGGGAAGGTGGACAAATAGGTTCCAAAATGTGTCTGCATTGGCTTCACCTGAAGAAAAAGAAAAGAAGAGGGCAACGGAGTCGTCAAGCCAATAAGAACAGAGAATCTCCCTACCAACAATAATTCAGATGAAGAAATGAGTGACTGATGGAAAGAAATGGTGAATCTCATGGGAAGCAGGTGGTTGCTGTTCCTTTCTATATTGTCTCTATCAAATGCATCTGTTACTGCTATGTCATCTTGGGCTTATATTTGTGATCCTCCTCTACTTCACTTTATTAGATGGGAAGAGAATAACATCTCCCCACAACTGGTCATATTGTTCCCTAGACAAAGATGGTCACATGCCAATTTCTTATCAAAGTTTAGGCCTCCCTTGGTGAAATATAAACTATTAGATATTCAAAGTTCAATGGATTACCCTCCTCCAATCCTGTGCAAAACCTAGCAACAATTCTTGGTCATTATTTTTTGTCACCGATTGAACTGTGGTCCATAGAATTATCTGTGGGAATATATTTAGAAGCATTATAGCCTTGAGATTGATTTGCTACTACATGTCCTTTGAAAAAAATGACTTGTATACCTTGAAATTAAAAACTAAAAAAGTGAGAACTTTGGGGAATCATGGAGTTGACCTGGTTTAGCTACATTAAGAGGCATACATTGTAGGTATTTCAGGTTAGATTTCATGACACGGTTCTTGTGGCACTGTGTCCCTTTCAGTTACTGAGAAACGGAGGCACTTCCTCAGACAGTGAAGCATTCAGGCTGCCTGCGTTTGTCTGAGTTCCCTAGAAGCTTGGCTGGACAATTGGTCTTAGACATTAACCTTGTATACCCTGTACAGCTTGCCATCACCATTGTACCCTGGCAACTACAACTGTATTGATTCTGACAATCATCATTGTATTATGTTTCTGATAAGACGATAAAAGTCTGATTCTTGCAATAAACTTGTCTCAGCCTCAGTCTTACTGAGACCTGTCCAATGCAGCCTGATTTTCATTCCCACCAACCATTTTTAGGAAATCCTGGTCTGGTAAATAAGTGCTGGAGATTATAAACAACATTTAAGCAGCATAAATAAAAGTCACACTAAGACAAATGTTATGTATGTGATAAGACAAATTGAATGCTGTTGACCTACAGAGTCTTTGTTCCATAGATAGAAATAGAAGAATTAAACTTCTAACACAGTATGGAAGATGTCAATTATACTAAAATATCCCAATGTAAATAAGCATTCTCTCTATACAGACATGAAAAAATCACCAGAAAACATTCCTTCAAGGTTCATTTATTAATATTAGAGCATGAAATATGTATAGAGTATGGACTGATTATGTGATGACTGCTTTTCCATTTTATAACAAACTGAAGATATCAGTTTGTTTGTTTATTTTGTACTATCAGATGCTTTCATTAAATGAGAGATGCAGAGTTTAGGGGGAGCAGAATCTTCCATAAAAGAGGATGGTATTGGTTTTGTTGTGTCTGATGAAGAAAAGGAATGGATGATCTGCATTGAATTCAATGGAAGGTGTCTTAATTCGAACACTGACCTCACTTCCAGTGCCAGCTGCAGCCTCTGTGCCTTCTTCATTTATTTCCACAAAGGTCTTGTGGAAAACATTGGACAAAAATAGGTTTCTCTCTGAAGACATGTTTGAGAAATCAGCTTCTCCCTGGCTAAAAGCATCAGTCATCCCCATACTGCTCAGGGCTGGCTTGAGATCATAACTCTCCTCTAGCTTGAACTTCGGGAGGTACAGCTGCACTTCCAAGGTGTCCATCATGTCTGCGCTGGTCCACTCATTCAGTTTCTCATAAGTGATGGCTCTTTCCAGCTAAGGATTGGAACCCAAGAAGAGTCAGTAAATTAGTGAGAGAGAAGCGCCATAGAGAAGATTACTCTCACCCCCCTCTACTCGGGGCAGCAAAACACACATTTGGAAATCCACTGGTTAAGTGGTGAGAACTTTCTGCTGTTGACCTACAGAGTCTTTGTTCCATAGATAGAAATAGAAGAATTAAACTTCTAACACAGTATGGAAGATGTCAATTATACTAAAATATCCCAATGTAAATAAGCATTTGCATTTTTTGTACACAAACCCATATACTACCATGTTGTTTGGGCACCAATGAGTCTTCACTGTCAACTTGATTAGATTCAAAACCACTAACAGATTAGTTAAGCATGCCTCTGACTGTATCCATGAGAGCATTTATACAGAAGAATTAGATCATGAGGACTCCCAGTAATAAACAACTTAACTCTTTGCTGGATTCAAACTGAATAGACTATTGAGAGGTGGCAGACCTGGGGAAGGTGGTGCCTGGCTGGACAATGTACATGTGTCCCTGGTGGCTCCATCTTGCTCCAGTCCTTCTGCTTATTGCTTCCTGCCCATCATGATGTGAACTACTCTGCCACAAACTCTTTGCCAGGGTGGCTGACATCAAGAATGGAATCAATCTTTTAACGCATAAAGATGTTTCTGTTAGGAGTAAATCATGGCAACAATAAACTGACTAACACAGGGCACAAACTACTCATTTTCTTGACATGGGAAAGAGTTCACTGAAAACAGAATTTCAGATAAAATAAAATGCCTATACTTTATAACCACAATATTATAAGCTATGTCAAGAAAGGATGAAAAGAGGGAAAAAAGAAAACTCCAAATCTTATGAGCACATTTGTATAATGAGCATAGGAAACCATTACTCCTCTTTATAATCTACAATTTCTAAGAGTAATGTATGAATATGTATAATAATATGTGGACTGTAAGAACAATGTATGAATTGTGGATAAACCTGATAATATATGTGTATAAATTTCACTTTTATTTTTAAGTTTGTTTCAAGGCATACACTTTTGCTCATTTGGGAGTTTCATAGACCCAAGCATTGCCTATAAGTGACATATTTATGAAAAGTACACATTAATAATGTGACAATATCTTCATCTCAGGACCCTGAATTCCAAAGAATCAGCCCATTATGACTGGAGTGGTAAGTGATACTTAGTCTACACAGGACTTATTGTTTCCATCCTCCACAGTTTACCACATTTTCAAAAGCCATATAAAATATTTTCTTTATACTAGCAGAGTTGTGAAAGCCTACCAAAATTAAGAGCTTGATACAAAAGAAAAATTGGACTCTGGCCAAAGAAAGACAGCCTATCTATTGCAAGAGGAGCTAACATACCATTTTGGCATCTATTTGTTCAGACATGAGGTCTGATCAGGCTTAATAGGGTGAACAGCCTAAATGGTGATGGTAAGGGGAGAGTTTTTTTCTCCTGAAGATTGTATATTTGATAAACATAAAAGTTTTAAAAATGTGGAACGGGTTATACATATAAATATATGTACTCATATGTAAATCCAAGTGATTAAAAAGATTAATTTGGGGGCTAGAGAGATGCCACAAAGGTTAAGAGTATAGATGCTCTTCCAGAATACTCTGATTCTTATCCTAGCACCTCCATGGTAGCTTACAACTATCTAAATATCTCCAGTTCCATGAGATCCAATGTGCTCTTCTGGTCACCACAGAAAGTGCACACACACACATAGTGCATAGACACACATGAAAGCAAAACACCCATACACACAAGATAATACAAATACAAACATTTTTAAGATTCATTAGGGGCTGGGATGCAGTTCTATCGAAGAAAGCCGGCTTAGCACACAAGAGGCCGTTGGGTTTGATCTGAGGCCCCACAAAAAGAGTCAATCCTCAAGAAGAGTTTCTGTGTGCCTCAATCTGAAGTAGGTCTGCAAGTGGCTTCTGTGCATAGATGTAGTCCTATCCTCTGGCATAACAAGGGTTATTAAACATGAAAGCCCCTTATGCATCTAGTATGGCTTCCAGGTTCCCACAAGACATTTCTTCTGCAGGTAAACACCTGGTTTCCTTAAGCAGTGGCTATCCAGGGTACTCTTGCACTCCAACCACCTCATCCAAGCACTATTTCTGCTTTCTACTCTACCACCGCCATCTAGAGTCCCTCAGCCAATTACAAGCCAGGTCTGGCTTAGCAATGAAATATCAGGATTCAGACCAAATTGAGAACACTCTAGACTGCCAACTTTCATTTGCTGCCAAGCCAAATGACACATTATGAGGAAACTGTCATCAATCTATTATGGAATTACATAAAGTTTTAAATGATGCAGCTACATGTATTTTATCTAAGGTAACTATACTCTATTCTTATGTTACACCTTGTTCTTAAAATTGAAATACCTTTTAAAACCAGAAGGAGAATATTAATGAAATTTTGGTTTGTTTAATATAATAAAAAAGCAGTTCTAAATAAAAGTTAATCTTGAATTAGATAGCTTCTGCTAGCCTTAGAAAATCTAAGGCAACTCAATGTGTAATCTCAATTTGTGATTGAAAGACTTAAAAATTAGCAAAGAAATATAGCCCAAACTGACCAAGGCTACTACTATGAGTTAGTGCCTGGAATTTACCAGCCATCAGCAATTACTCCCTTACAAGGCCATAACATAACTGGGTACCAAGAATTCCCAGATGGCCACCCTCCCCAAGGGGCTCTTGAAGGAAACAGATTGCCCCACTGGCCAATGTGTCAATAATTAACAATTAAGGGTTCCTATGAAACAAAGAGATAGCTACCATTAGTTAGCACATCCTGAGGTCTGCAGGTTTTACAACTGGTGGGGTCAGGAGGCTTTCTGATTCCCAGACCTCCACTCAAGACAAAGGGCTTCCTAGGAACCCATGACTTTGGTCACGTATTCAACAGACAGAGAGTCGAGGCCCCTCCCTAAGCTTATGGTTTTTGCCTTTAAAAACTCCTGTGCCTGGGGGACGGGGCTGCTCTCTAGCCTGTATGCTGAGAGAGCCTGTTTGTACAAATGTCCACCTTTCATTAAAGCCTCTTGCTGTTTGCATCAAGTTTCTGCCTCCTTATGGTGAGTGGGGTGGCTGCAGTCCTGGGAAAAGATTCTGGAGGCCTGAGCTTCTGGGGGTCTTACAGTGATAATAGCCTCCATATCTGTGTACATGTGGCTAAGTGTATGCCTATCTTGTGCTAGAAATGTCCATAGTTATATAACCTTACTAAAAATGATAATATTAGCTTTATAGAATTTTGTAAAGTACGAGAAATGTTGGAAGACAAAGTCGCCAGGGCTCAAATATAATAGTTGATTGCCTTCCTATGCAGAATCTTAAAAACAAGGAGGCCAAATCCTCGTTTGTTTTTCTCTTTAAGACATAATGGAAGCACAGAATCCATTTATGTCAGGCAGACTGATGTATCTACCTGTTCCAGGCCATTCACATCTTCTGGCAGCAGCAAAAGCAGGCTGAGGTCACGATTTTGATAGTGGAGTTGAAGGCCTATGGTTTGCAGCTCCTCAATGTGGAAGACTTGAAGGTCCCTTTTCATTGACATCATTTGCACCGGTTTGCTTTTTGTCTAAAGAAGTGGACAACAGAGTCACAGAAGAAATTTTTACCAGATTCTTTAGCCTGTCGCCATCAGTGTCCCTTTGTCTTAGGCTTTAGTAAAATTGGTAACCTTACAGTAAACACAGAAGTTTTCCTGATTTAGCTTCTGGAAATTTTTACTAACAATATCAATGATAATAAGAAACCGGGTTCCTGTCTCTAAAAATATACTGGGCAACATGTTTATGCCACAATAAAGATTCTACCAAACACTTGAAAGGAGAAATGCATGAACACATAAATGCTATTGACCCAGAAATTAAGGGCCATCTTACATGTAAACATTTGAGAGCCCTGGAAAGTATTTTTAGTATCCTAAAAACTGAAATACATCAAAAAAGTAAAAACTAGCAATAGATTAGGAAAACAACACATTGTAAACTATTATTAGATAAAAAACTTCTGTTAAAATGAGTACAAGTACCTACGGAGACCAGAAGAGGGCATCAGATCCTCTTGAACTTGAGTTCTAGAGAGGAATCTCCTCTGTGCTAGGAATCAAACCCTGGTCTTCTGGGAAAGCAGCAAGAGCTTTTAACTGCTGAGCCATTTCTCTAGCTCCATATTTTTAACAAAAACAACTGCAAGTGAAACCTCAGTGAACTTTCTGCAATCCAGTGTTATAGACATATTATTTATCCATTGAATGTGAAGCAGAAGGCCTCTCCCATAGGCTACTAGACCACTGATGGGGATACAGTGATGGTTTCATGGTGTGCTTTTAACGGTACCAACTAGCATCCTCTTCAGATTTCACTATTAAAACTAACAACTAGGACATTCCATGTCAGCTTGCTTTGAGGTGCTACAAGTTTCTCTCTCTAAGAATTTAAAATGGGAATTTAAAATAGGCTTATCAGCCTATTCTCCAGAGTAGAAGAGATGTTGAGTAGCTGTGTTTAGCCACTGTGGATTAGAAACAGGAAAAATCTAGACTTCAGCCAGAGAGAAAAATGATAGAATGCTATAAGCAGCAAGATCACATAGTAATTACACAGCCACCATCTCATGAAGACAGCCCAGAAGAATTAAGAATTCTTTTGAAGGATTAAACCAGGATGTAAGGCGTATTGGAATATAGTCTTGTGAATGAAGTGGCTGTTTCTTGCTATAGATTTTCCTTTAGCTTATTACTCTCTGTAACAAATTTGGGATTTATTTCCCACAGTTTAGCACTATCTGATCATTTACTGGGAACAATTTCTCCCATGCATTTGGAGTTTACTGATTCCACTCCCTAGCTATGTGTGAGACCTCTTTCCCACCATCAGGTCCTTGTTCTCCTCTCCTATGTAATTGCAGAGATCTGCCTTCCTGCAATTATCCTTTTGACAGGTTATTTGGTCAGTGTTCAGGGTCCAGGCAAAAGCATTCCATCTAAGACATTCTCAGATATCCAAGGACATAGAATTACCACATGCCCAAAGCTGTTGATTCACAGCTTCCTCAGTGGATAGAAAAAATTATGCATGCCCTTGTTTTACCTCACTGACAGATAGAGAAGTGATGACCTGTCAGAAGCCAGCCTTGGCAACTCCCCATGCCTAGCTAGCCTCCAGCCAGTCTAGCATCCCACCCCTCAGGTTCTGGGACCTGGCCTGAGAAGCAACTAACACCTATTCCTTCCCCCACTTCCTTAACACAGGAGATTCCGGATACCTGCCTAGAGCAATTAACATTCATCCCTCCCCCACCTCCCTTTTCTCTGCTTCCTCCTTTCTCTTTAAAAATCCCCTTGGTTTCAATAAAGTTGGCCTTGACAAGAAAACCTGCTTGGTCCCGCTCTTTCTTTCCTGCCCATTATTTCCAGGTGGATCCATCTTGGACTCACGAATTACCGGAGCCCCGAGGGACAGGGCAGGTGGAGCCAAACATGCCGCTCAAGGTACATTCTTCACCGAATGGAGACCTCCCCCAAGGAAACCTCTGTAGTGCACACCGACAAGGAAGTTCTGCTCGCCAGATTGCGACGGACACTGGTCTGGGGAAAGTTCTCACCGATCATGAGTGACTGATTCCCTGGTAAGTCCCCCCTCATTCCGTTCCATAATGATGGGCCAAATTGTCTAAGGAAGTCAAACACTTCCTTTCGGGAAAGAGGAGTTTGAGTAAAATGTAAGGACTTGATTCAGTTTTTTGCCCTTTTTGTCAAAAAATGTCCATGGGTCATTTTAGAAAGCCCAAACATTCATCCCTAACTTGGAAAAAGGTCGTAGAAGGACCTTAACAGATTGCTCATAGAAAATGGACCTGAGGCAGTTCCCTCACAGACTTTTAGTTACAGGCCTAGAGCCTCATTCTCCTAAAAACCTTAAAAATTACCCTGTCTTTAGTTCAAACCCCAAACCAGAAACCGATAGTAGAAGCCTAGACTGCTCAAGTACAGGCGATTTTAGAGTTTAAAAGTTTCAAAAGGATCCTTCCCGCTTACAAAAGCCACTGCCATGATGCAGCATTTTGAGTTACGTGGGGGCTTGGGAAGACATAGATGTGGCCTCGCATACACGCAGGCCCTCAGGAGATTCTAGGAATGTAATGGAGAACAGAAACCTACGTGCCTACTTAGGGGCAGCTGGATAGTAAAGAATATACAAGACAAATGATTGGGATCAACAGGGAGAGACAATTAATAAGTGCCTAGATGGAGGGAGCCTTCACCTCCTTCCTTCATTTTTAAGCTGGAAATACAGAAAGGCAAATACTCAAAGGTAAAATTCAGCAAGCGCTAAGAGACTTGAAAATTTTAGCGAAATTGCTTACAGGCGATAAGAAATTTACAGGTTTCCTGGATCAGAGAGAATGGCTCAAGGGAACATAGCAGGATACATGTGCCAATATCATTCAAACAGCTCTAGGAACAAATAATGGCTTATGTCCAGTATGGACCAACAGAGGCTGATAGGGAATATTGCTTTAAAAGTCTCATGCCTAGGAAATTGAAAGCGGATAACCAAGGCCTGCCAGTCAGGAGGAGGATATTTGTTATAGAGAGCAGGCAGAGACCTAAGGAGTTAGTTCAGAATTGGTTTCTAGGCCTTTGTAGACATTATACAAAAAAGTTAGGGACACGGGTGTTAGAACTTTGATTGTGAAATAGCTAGCTTATGATAAAGTTGGTAATGCATGCCTAGACCATGCTAAGGCCTCATAGGAAGTGGACAGATATGGCGAGTTCATTAAGAATTGTTCAAATATGGATCTATCTTATGCTCAGGGATTAGCAATGATGGCTGCCTTACAGGAAATTCAGTTAAAAATAAGTTATTCGTACACAGAAAGCAATGCACAGGGAGAAAGAAATGCATAGAGCCTTCTAGAGGTTGCTTTGGTTCAGAAAGAGCTCCAGGTCAGACAGAGTCCCAACAAAACGAGAAAATAAGGGATCAGGCTTGTGCCCAAAATACAGCCGCAGGGCATAGTCGAGATAAGGCCAAGGTCAGCCATGGCATCCGCAGTGGCAGCAGCAGTGGCAGCAGCAGTGGCAGCAGCAGCGGCAGCGGCCGCAGTCTGCCGGCTATCAGCCAGCGGCTTGGTACCACCTCGTGCTGGTGTCTGAGGCAGGCTAGACAAAATGGCTGCTGGTGCAGCAGACAGCCTGCCTCCTCGTGGTAACTTCCAGCCTTGGTAGGTACCGCATGGTTGATGGCTAATTAATATATATATAAATGCTATTGATAAAGCCAGACAGAAACTGTTTTTGAGACTTATAGAGAAGAAAGGACAACATATTTAAGCTTAGAATGTTCAAATTTTGGATGCTCTTTTTGACCCTATTAACAGGTAGAGAAGTGATGACCTAAACTAGTCCTACACTAAAAGATTCTCAAACTACTCACTCCAATTTATTACCCCAAATTCTAGCCCAGAAATTTACTGCTTGTGTTTCCCCTGAGAAGGTAATCAGCCCATTTGCTCATCCTCAGGAAAAAGTAAACTTTCATGAAGGCCTGTGATGCCACTGAGGCCAGATCACTGGAAGGCACCTGGTTCTTTTTCTTGTGCAAATTAAACTTAAACCCTCTCCTTGACCTACAGCCCTAAGCAGTTGGTGCTTAAAGTTTCTCCTAGCAGTTTCAGTTTATTGCTCTATGTGTAAATCTTATCTGCCTTGCTGACCATGTGACCATGAGAAACTCAAATCTCACACTGTATTGCCAAAAA